TTTTTTTAAACATTTTGTCAATTACCAAACGCGTTTGTAGTTTATGTTTTTTTAAAATTAATTTAAAAATAAACAAAAACCAGTTTATAAAATTTTTGTAAATATAAACTGAAAACGTAAACATTACCAAACACACCCGTATTTGATATTCCATTCATTAGACTATTTATTTATTCTTTCATATTAGCGTTTTTCAAAAAAATTAGTATGCGGGATATTTTGCCTTTGATTTACATTGTTCTACTCGCATATATTGAGAGCAATTTTTGCACCATATTCTGAGTGATTTATTTGTTAAGTGCAATAACTGGTGAGATTTGAGTCGAAGCATGTTTCAGAAAGAGATTTGGGTTATATTTCACTTTCAGGCTAAGGTTGTGTCTGTGTTTGCTAAACTTTTTTCACACACTCCAAATTTTGAATATCATGAGATATCTGTATTTGCTGCTAGCGTCTTGAACTTTGATTGATTATCTTGTTAAGGTTGTGAAATTCATGGCTGATTCTTTAACTTTGGCATGAGAATGAAAGAAATCCCTTTAGTAAAGAAATTTTTGGATGTTTGTGGGTAACATCTTTGGAAATCCTCACGAGACTTTTACTCATCCACGAGGGGTAACCTATTGGATTAAGGGCTTGTTGCATGTGCTAAATTCAATCGTGATTTCTTGCAGAAGTGGTTTAGAGTTGTTGCTTTTATTTTACTTTTTGATTTTATTTTAGTCACCCTAATTGCTAGGTTCTAGCAATAAAGCTGGTTGGGAGGTGTGATGAATGCTTAAAATTACATAGTTGTTCTATGAATTTTGGATATTATATTCATTCTCTCAATTTGTATTTAATTGTGATTTAATGAATTTAATTTAAATTTGTAGAAAAACTACATTTAAGCCTTCAACAATATCAATTGCTCAACAAGGCCCATAAGACTCGGTATGCTTCTAAATCATCTCATAACATCTACAAAACCTCTCTCAAAGGTTAGACAAGATTTCATTGTACCTCCAGTCCTTTAATATTTTGATTTTGGTCTTCAAATACTTTTTTGTTTTTCCTTTTAATTACTACTCGTCTTCTGTTCTTTATTTGTTCCTTTTATGAAATATATATTTGGTGACTTAGATAATAGCAAAAACCCTAGATCTGACCGCAATGTTGTCAAGGGTGCTCGGGCTGCTCGAATTCAGCAAAACAAATGGTAGTTTTTATCTTAATTTTCTACCCCTCTACATAAGATGTATACCTTTTCACTCACAAGGATCTTGTGTTTGTAGCTTTTCATCAAATAAAGGATAATATTTCTATTGCCTAATGGCAGGATTGCATATTTTTGTCGATAAGGGAGCAGAATGTGTGCTGTTTTGGAAGAAAAAAGGGCATCTAGTTGATTGACTAGTCCTCCCCGTGTCATTGTATATGATATGTTTTTAATGTTAATATTATTTGTACTCAAAGGAATTGTTAATCCTTCACAAAAGGTTCTTTTGTATAAAACTAGACTACATTTTTTTTCCTGGTAAATTGAGATCTAGATGGACTGGGCCGTTTCATAGTTAAAACTGTTTTTTCTCATGGGGCCCAGATTGAAAATCCCAAGAATGGTAATGTTTTTAAAGTGATTGGCCAATGTCTTAAACCAGTTTTGGAGAATTTCCCACCTGAAGAGGAGAGGAGTCCATCGAATTAAAAGACCCTATTCATTTATTCATGTTTGAGCTAGTAAAGATGTTTGTAGTCCTTCTTTCACAATAAGTTATTTATGGGGAAAAAAAGAAATTATGATTTCATCTAACAATTATTCTCTATTTATGATGGCATATCATATGATAAATCGTATTTGAAAATCACTCTTCCAATGTTTGATTGCAGTGAACTTTTAGACCCTGTTGTTGCTGAAGCTACACTGGACTTTCGAAATCTTAACAAGAGAAAACTTTTAACTAATTTCCCTACATTTCTCCCTCAGGTATGATTTGAAATTGGCATGATTCTTTGCTTGGGGTTTAGTTTCTTTATTTGACTGAATTTTCAGATTTAGAAGTAGAAAAGAAGAAATACGAAACATGGATATCAAATATTTTGGTAACTTATCCTCCTCTAACATCAGTCTTGCATTTGTAGTTTTCTCCATTATTGCTAAAGCTCCTGAAATGTAGAGAAGCAAGTTCCTCATGTCATCTTTTTGTTCTGTTCTTAATAGATATATGTAATTTATTTTATTGGAATGGTCTTAGTTATAATTCGTGTAATTGTTGTGTCCTCAAGATATTTGTATATGACAAATGCTAAAAGTGCTGAATGGATTGAAATAAAGAAGTGTCTTGAAAATAGGTCAAACAGTTAAAAGAAGTGCATTAATTTCAATAAAAACTGCATTGAATTTAATAAAAAGTGTCTTGTGTTTTAAAAAAAAAAATTTGGGTCTACTTTTCGTGTCCCCGGGACACTTGTTAACAAGACCCTTCATATATTGGTATCCATAATTGTAGTTTTATTTTATTTTTGTCCTGTCAATGCTACTTCAGAAATAAATTAGAAATTGTTGCCGGCCGGCACCTTACACTGCCGATCGGCATAATGTTCCTGCAGAATCTGCAAATGACAGCAACAGAGGGCAAGGCAAAGCATGGCAGCACAATTCAAGGCATATATGCACCAACCATGTCCCTTATCATGATAATGACTCAAAGGGGCATGTGCCTCGATTCTCGGACCACCAATCACGCATTTCCATGCATGATGGCCCAAAGACCAAGTATGCAACTTTGATTTCAAATGTAATGCAAACCAATCAAACGAACAAGGCCAAATTCCTATCACTAGTCAAGGAACAAGGCATGCATGCAAGATGTAATGCAACCTAGGCATACAAGCTAAGGATGCAACATAGCATGGCAACAAACTCATGCAAGCATACAAGTATACATATGGCAATGCAAACTAATGGAAAGATGGACTTATACATGGATTAGGCAGCTCTAATAAGGCCCAAAACAGTAGCCATAATGCCCAAAGATGGAGGCTAAACACACATGCACACATACACATGTTAAGACCCAACACTTAGGCACAAAGCAAGCAACATTCAAGCACACTTGAAAGAGGCATTCATGGACTAAAAAGCATGCAACATGAACTCTAAAATCATGCTAAAACATGGTGCCAAACCAAGCAACAAATCAAGCCAAGCATGCATCAAATGGCCTAAGTGCTCAAAACGAACCAATGGAGCATTGGACTACACTTAGCAAGACCAAACATGGCATGAACTTATTGACCAAAAACAGAGTTTTAGGACATTAATACAAGGCCTAAGGACCACTTAGATGGCATCTAAATGATTCAAAATTCATAGGCATGCACAATGGTCAAAACATGGAGCATGCAACACATACTTTCAAAGCATCAAAGAGGCATGCAAGGCAATCAAGCAAGCATGAAAATGGGACTGAAATAGCATGTAAGGTGGTCCCAAATCACCAAAACAATGCAAAGGTGTCATGCTATACATTCATATGCTCAAGGCCAACAAGCCCAAATACAAAGGAGCTATACCAAGCATGCCAAAATCAACCCAAACACTTATGGACAGACCTAGAACATGGCAAAACATGCACAAAATCTTCACAAATGTAAGCCTAAAACATGCTAGAAACAAAGGCACACAACCTAAGACATGTTAAGGCATAACAAGGCATTACATGGAAACTATGCTAAGCATGCATGGAGTACCAAAACCAACAAAAAACAGAGGCATAACATGACATATTAAGCATAAAAAGCAGCCAAGTCATGGTCAATACACCCTCAAACATAATGCTCTCTCATAGACCGATTGGTAGATATTTCATGCAAAGGTGGGGCTAGGTTATGATGACTCAAATCACATATGGTATTTTTGGACTATTTATACTGTGGCATGGTAATAAATTTGTGTAGAAATTTAAAAAGAAAAAAAAGCAAAGAAAATGTATATAAGTAATTTTTTTTCTTCATTTCTCTCACCTTTTATTCTTTTTCTTCAAATTTCTATTCAAATACAGATATGTCTCACAATCAGCTAGTTGAAGGGAATATGGGAAATTTTTGGTACCGTCGGTGATGAAAGTCAGCGGCTGAAGTCAACTTACCCCAGTTTGATGGGTTTGATGAATGAAGAGCATTACAACAACAACCCACAAAAATCATAAATAAAAATGGGGAATTATATATAGGTGGGTGAAGAGGAAAAAAATAATTAACATATGAGAAACAAGCGATATTTAGATTACAGTCTTTCATTTACACCTCACTATAAACACATTTACACCCCTAATGTATTGATAATTTCTTTTTCCCTTCTCCCACGTACATTCCACATGCATGTAGTTTATCCAATAAAAATTCATTACCCAGATAGAAGAATTTCAACTACACACATCTCTATCATTGAAAAACTTATAATTAATAAATGGTGTGTCAAAAAAGTCAGAGTTCTAAATCTGAAACAGTTGGTTGTAAGTCCAAAATAGCAGAGAAGCATACATTTGTCAAACCGCCTACTTCCAAATTAAACGTAGGCTCCTGAAAGCACATATTGTGCCGTTTTGGAAAGTGACAAAAAACTACATTTTTAGGCTAGGGAAAAAACGTTGGTGTGTGTAAAAACGCTGAAAACACCATTTGGAAAGATCTAAAAACGCAACTCGGCCATTTACCAGACTATCCTCATCTCATGTAAATTGGGGTCTCGGACAAAAATCAAAAGGTAAGCATATTTTGGTCATTTTAGAGTGATGTGACACTTTTAAAAAATATTAAATCAAGAATAAAAAAAGTCAATTTTTTATCAACTTCCCAAATCATCTCCAAAAAAGTCAAAAAGTTTAGTAAAAAGTCAAAAGTCAATTTTTTACCAACTTAAAGTCATATATATTGGCGGTGATAAGATAATAGTTAGTTATTAATTATTTTTTCTCATAATTTTAGTCCAACTATATTTTGACCCATTTTTCTCTTCGTTCAATTTAATTGTTTGGATTAAATATAAAGACTTGGAAAGGATAATATTTAAAAATGTATGATGTTTATTATCCTGTCCTTAAATATCAATTCAGAATTAAATTTTATTTATTATTAAATAAATTAAGAATTCATAGATGTTACATTCTACGAAATTGAAAATAGATTTAATAGTAATATTTTAAGGATGTTAAGCATTTTTTGTTTTTTGTTTTTTTATTCTCATATAGCTGTCCAAGTTGTCTTGGATGGAATATTTAGATGTTAAGGTGAGTAAAAAAAAAAAAAAAATAAATAATTAAATGGATTTGACTTCATGATCTTGGTTTGTAAATGGGATTAAGTTGTTTTTTGTGAAATGAGTCTAACAATGTTCCTATTGCAGAGTTTGCAAATGATGTGTTGGTGGGCTGAGGACCCAAATTGTGATGAGTTCAAGCATCATCTTGCTCGAGTCCCTGATTACTTATGGCTTGCTGAAGATGGAATGAAAATGCAGAGTTTTGGAAGTCAAGTATGGGACACTACACTTGCCACCCAAGCTTTAACTTGAGAAATTGTGTTGAAGTTTGATATGCTAGCTACTTTGTTAAAGTATTCCGTGTGTTCATATTTGGAAATCATTGCACTGCACTTTAGCCACATGAATATGATTTTTAGTTGATAAGTGGGTATGACTTGAAAATCTCGAAGAATGATAGTGGAGACTTTTGAGCCTACGAGTTTTGTGCTAATCTTTTATTGGAGGGTTGTGATACATCTGCTCTTAATTTTCTTTGGAAGCGCATTAATTTGTTGTTGAGTCTCATTATTTCTTAATTTTGGTTGAATGTTGAGGATAAATCAATTTGTTACCATACTTTTATTCCCTTGAGATCATGAATTGAGAGATGATTTTAGGCCATCTTTGTTTCATTGAGCCTTTTATTTATTTTTCTTTCCTTTATTATTACTTCATTAGAAACCAATTTGAGCCTTTATGTTAGCCTTTCTTTGTTTAACCCCACAACCCATACTTTCTCTTCAATTTTGTAGATATGTTTCTTAATTTTGGTTGAATGTTGAGGATAAATCAATTTGTTACCATACTTTTATTCCCTTGAGATCATGAATACTTCATTAGAAACCAATTTGAGCCTTTATGTTAGCCTTTCTTTGTTTAACCCCACAACCCATACTTTCTCTTCAATTTTGTAGATATGTTGCGTAAGTTGAGTTTGGCAATGGCAAATTTGTTTGAAAAAAAAAAAAAGTAAAAAAGGAGAGAAGGTGGAAAAAAAGAAGAAGAAATAAATTGTGTTCAACGAGGGGGGGGCAAAACGAAAAGAAAAAAAAAAGCAGGAGGAGGAAGTTGAAAAAGACAAAAAAAAGTAACAAAAAGAGCAAAACATTTGGAATAATGCTCTAACTGTGTTTATTTTTATGCCAATAATCTCTCAGATTAGAGCTTATTTTTATGCCAATAATGTCTCAGACATTCATTTTTTTATTCAACTTTGCGTTTTTATTATTTTTTCGTAATTCCTCGACCCAAACATTACAACCAAATAAAAGTCCCTATTTGATCTTGAGAGTGGTATAGTTTACAAGTGAACATGATGGATAGGCGTGATGGTATGGTAATTTTAATTCTCAGTATATGGTATTCCATTTATGAGACTATTTATTTATTCTTTCCACACCATATAGCGTTTTTCCAAAAAATTAGTATGCGGGATATTTTGCCTTTGATTTACATTATTCTACTCGCATATATTGAGAGTAATTTTCACACCATATTCTGAGTGATTTATTTGTTGAATGCAATAACTGGTGACATTTGAGTCGAAGCATGTTTCAGAAAGAGATTTGGGTTATATTTCACTTTAAGGCTAAGGTTGTGTCTGTGTTGGCTAAACTTTTTCACACTCCAAATTCTGAATGTCATGAGATATCTTTACTTGCTGCTAGTGTCTTGAACTTTGATTGATTATTGTGAAATTCATGACTTGTTCTTTAACATTAGCATGAGAACGAAAGAAATCCTGAGTAAACAAATTTTTTGACGTTTGTGGGTAATATCTCTAGAAATTTTAATTCGGTGCCGTTTGATAACACTTACGTTTTCAATTTTCTGTTTATATTTACAAAAATTTTAAAAACTCAAATAAAAACTTGTTTGGTAAAATTTTTGATTTATAAATCAGTGGTCTCAGTTTATAAATTTGGCCAAAAATGTGTTTTCATTTTTTGTTTTCAGTTTTTTTTTTTTATCACCCAACATTAGCCATCACCCGCCACCATTTTTTACCACCGTCTTCTGCCACCACCACCCACCACCCTCCACCACCACCTGCCACCACCACTCACCACTCACCACCCACCTGCTACCACCACCCATCCCTCGCCGCCACCACCACCACCCACCTGCCATCCACCAGCCACCACCTACCTGCCACCCACTCCCCACCACCACCACCCACTACCCACGTGCCATCCACCTGCCACCACCCGTCACTGCCATCCACCACGCTACCTACTTGCCACCACCATTCACCAGTCACTTGCCACCACCATCCATCACCTGCCACCACTAGCCACCCACCACCACCCACCACTGATCACGTGACAGAATAGATTAAACCAGCACCTGCGCACAAGAAGACAAGAAATGCCGCGGTAGTTCATCCACCGGGGGCACTCCGACGATCAAGTCAATCAACTTATCTCCCAAGATATCATCAACTCAAATCAAGAGCTCGCAGAATAAATCACATACCTTAGACCCACGAGGGTGCCTTACTTTTATAATGATCAGTGTCCAACTTCCTCTAGAAGTCTCACTTCATGGGACTCTATCCTTTACAAGGATAACATCTATCATAACTTATATATTCAGATTAAGATGAACTTCCTCAAGAGTCTCATCTCTATCCAAATATGTAGCTTGATGTCATTTATGATTCTTGTCCTCTATTCAAATTCTGACATTACTGCATCATATCTCGGCAATATCACAACAACCTTGGCATCATGGCTTGCCTACGTAGCACCTCAGCCAACACCTCGGCCACGTGGCGCGACCCTAAAAATACGTCCCCACAACTGCCCCTAGGTTCTATTACCTCGACAACCTAAGGTGATTCACCCGCCACCACCACCTCCCACTCACTACCACCCGCCAACGTCACCCACCCACCCACCACCGCCACCCACCTGCCACCACCCACCACCACCAGCTACCCACCACCCACCGTCACCACTTGAACCACCGTCTTCCGCCTCCACTTGCCACCACTTGCCATTTCTCACTCTTTTTTATATTTTTAAAATTTTTTGAACATTTTGTCAATTACTTTCGCGTTTGTAGTTTATGTTTTTTTAAAAATAAACAAAAACTAGTTTATAAATTTTTTGTAAATATAAATTGAAAAGGTAAACGTTACCAAACACACCCGTATTTGATATTCCATTCATTAGACTATTTATTTATTCTTTCATATTAGCGTTTTTCAAAAAAATTAGTATGCGGGATATTTTGCCTTTGATTTACATTGTGCTGGAAATTTGTGATAATGTATATAGTATGATAGTGGTGTTGGTGAAGGATAGTGGCATGTATAGAATATGATAGTGGTGTTGGTGGTAGATAGTGGTATTTTGCCTTTGATTTACATAGTTCTACTCGCATATATTGAGAGCAATTTTTGCACCATATTCTGAGTGATTTATTTGTTGAGTGCAATAACTTGTGAGATTTGAGTCGAAGCATGTTTCAAAAAGAGATTTGGGTTATATTTCACTTTAAGACTAAGGTTGTGTCTGTGTTTGCTAAACTTTTTTCACACAATCCAAATTTTGAATGTCATGAGATATCTGTATTTGCTGCTAGCGTCTTGGACTTTGATTGATTATCTTGTTAAGGTTGTGAAATTCATGGCCGGTTCTTTAACTTTGGCATGAGAATGAAAGAAATCCCTTTAGTAAAGAAATTTTTGGATGTTTGTGGGTAACATCTTTGGAAACCCTCACGAGACTTTTACTCGTCCACGAGAGGTAACCTATTGGATTAAGGGCTTGTTGCATGTGCTAAATTCAATCGTGATTTCTTGCAGAAGTGGTTTAGAGTTGTTGCTTTTATTTTACTTTTTGATTTTATTTTAGTCACCCTAATTGCTAGGTTCTAGCAATAAAGTTGGTTGGGAGGTGTGATGAATGCTTAAAATTACATAGCTGTTCTATGAATTTTGGATATTATATTCATTCTCTCAATTTGTATTTAATTGTGATTTAATGAATTTAATTTAAATTTGTAGAAAAACTACATTTGAGCCTTCAACAATATCAATTGCTCAACAAGGCCCATAAGATTCGGTATGCTTCTAAATCATCTCATAACATCCACAAAACCTCTCTCGAAGGTTAGACGAGATTTCATTGTACCTCCAGTCCTTTAATATTTTGATTTTGGTCTTCAAATACTTATTTGTTTCTCCTTTTAATTACTACCCGTCTTCTGTTCTTTATTTGTTCCTTTTATGAAATATATATTTGGTGACTTAGATAATAGCAAAAACGCTAGATCTGACCGCAATGTTGTCAAGGGTGCTCGGGCTGCTCGAATTCAGCAAAACAAATGGTAATTTTTATCTTAATTTTCTACCCTCTACATAAGATGTATACCTTTTTACTCACAAGGGTCTTGTATTTGTCGCTTTTCATCGAATAAAGGATAATATTTCTATTGCCTAAAGGCAGGATTGCATATTTTTGTCGATAAGGGAGCAGAAAAGGTGTGCTGTTTTGGAAGAAAAAAGGGCATCTAGTTGATTGACTAGTCCTCCCCGTGTCATTGTATATGATATGTTTTTAATGTTAATATTATTTGTACTCAAAGGAATTGTTAATCCTTCACAAAAGGTTCTTTTGTATAAAACTAGACTACATTTTTTTCCTGGTAAATTGAGATCTAGATGGACTGGGCCGTTTCATAGTTAAAACTGTTTTTTCTAATGGGGCCCAGATTGAAAATCCCAAGAATGGTAATGTTTTTAAAGTGACTGGCCAACGTCTTAAACCTTAAAACTGTTTTTTCTCATGGGGCCAGATTGAAAATCCCAAGAATGGTAATGTTTTTAAAGTGATTGGCCAATGTCTTAAACCAGTTTTGGAGAATTTCCCACCTGAAGAGGAGAGGAGTCCATCGAATTAAAAGACCCTATTCATTCATTCATGTTTGAGCTGGTAAAGATGTTTGTAGTCCTTCTTTCATAATAAGTTATTTATGGGGAAAAAAAGAAATTATGATTTCATCTAACAATTATTCTCTATTTATGATGGCATATTCTCTATTTATGATGGCATATCATATGATAAATCGTATTTGAAAATCACTCTTCCAATGTTTGATTGCAGTGAACTTTTAGACCTTGTTGTTGCTGAAGCTACACTGGACTTTCGGAATCTTAACAAGAGAAAACTTTTAACTAATTTCCTTACATTTCTCCCTCAGGTATGATTTGAAATTGGCATGATTCTTTGCTTGGGGTTTAGTTTCTTTATTTGACTGAATTTTCAGATTTAGAAGTAGAAAAGAAGAAATATGCAACATGTATATCAAATATTTTGGTAACTTATCCTCCTCTAACATCAGTCTTGCATTTGTAGTTTTTCCCATTAATGCTAAGTTCCTCATGTCATCTTTTTGGTTTTGTTCTTAAAAGATATATTTAATTTATTTTATTGGAATGATCTTAGTTATAATTCGTGCAATTGTTGTGTCCTCGAGATATTTGTATATGACAAATGCCAAAAGTGCTGGATATTGGAATTGAAATAAAGGAGTGTCTTGAAAATAGGTCAAACATGTAAAAGAAGTGCATTAATTTCCATAAAAACTGCATTGAATTTAATAAAAAGTGTCTTGTGTTTTAAAAAAAAAAATTTGGGTCTACTTTTCGTGTCCCCGGGACACTTGTTAACAAGACCCTTCATATATTGGTATAACTGCATTGCATTTAATAAGAAGTGCCTTGTGTTTTCAAATTTCAATGGTTCTTTGTTTTTCAGGCATGTTTTTAATGTTAATATTGTTTGTACTCGAAGGAATTGTTAGTCCTTCACAAAAGGTTCTTTTGTATAAAACTAGACCTGGTAAATTGAGATCTAGATGGGCCGGCCCTTTCATAGTTAAAACTGTTTTTTCTCATGGGGCCGTTGAGATTGAAAATCCCAGGAATGGTAATGTTTTTAAAGTAACTGGCCAACGTCTTAAACCAGTTTTGGAGAATTTCCCACCTGAAGAGGAGAGGAGTCCATCGAATTAAAAGACCCTATTCATTCATTCATGTTTGAGCTGGTAAAGATGTTTGTAGTCCTTCTTTCACAATAAGTTATTTATGGGGAAAAAAAGAAATTATGATTTCATCTAACAATTATTCTCTATTTATGATGGCATATCATATGATAAATCGTATTTGAAAATCACTCTTCCAATGTTTGATTGCAGTGAACTTTTAGACCCTGTTGTTGCTGAAGCTACACTGGACTTTCGAAATCTTAACAAGAGAAAACTTTTAACTAATTTCCCTACATTTCTCCCTCAGGTATGATTTGAAATTGGCATGATTCTTTGCTTGGGGTTTAGTTTCTTTATTTGACTGAATTTTCAGATTTAGAAGTAGAAAAGAAGAAATACGAAACATGGATATCAAATATTTTGGTAACTTATCCTCCTCTAACATCAGTCTTGCATTTGTAGTTATTGCAATGAATTAGAAAATGAACAGAGGGTAGAGTATATGAAAAACATAATGGTTGTCAATAATGAAAGGAGGATATTACTCTAGATGGAGCTGCATGTTGCAAAAGAATTCACTGAGTTGACTCCAAATAGACATGTTTAATTTTGTTAAATTGAGTTTTTCTGGCAGTATCTTGTTCTCTTATATGCAGCAGCAGCGACTACATTCTAATTCCAACGAATTTCTGCCATGTTCAATATTACTGGACTCATATCATGCTTTTTATTCAACTGGCAGGCTCATTCTCTTTATTTTTCGAATTGTGTCAGAACTTGGATGAAAATGTGACAATGCATTGGATTTTTTTTTTGTGATTCTTATCTGCCTCCTAGATTAATATGCATACAACCACAGAATATGTTAATGCTTGCACTTGTGCTGATGTAGGTGGATAAAACATCACTACTTCGCTATGGCCATGGCACTTATCAGTCTCACTTGGGAGACCCAGAAGCAGGTTATTATCCTTCTTAAGTCCATATTGAAATTTTTACTCTAGATGGAGCTGCATGTTGCAAAAGAATTCATTGAGTTGACTCCAAATAGACATGTTTAATTTTGTTAAATTGAGTTTTTCTGGCAGTATCTTGTTCTCTTATATGCAGCAGCAGCAACTACATTCTAATTCCAACGAATTTCTGCCATGTTCAATATTACTGGACTCATATCATGCTTTTTATTCAACTGGCAGGCTCATTCTCTTTATTTTTCGAATTGTGTCATTGCTTGGATGATGTAGGTGGATAAAACATCACTACTTCGCTATGGCCATGGCACTTATCAGTCTCACTTGGGAGACCCAGAAGCAGGTTATTATCCTTCTTAAGTGCATATTGAAATTTTGTTTTTGTTTTTGTTTTTTGTTTTGAGAGGGGTGCAATTGTTCCTTCAATGGGCTATCATGCAAGGAGTTGCAATGCTTCTACAAAATAGATATCAACGGCAAAGGCTTTGTACACATATTGCACTCGGCAAGGTGTAATTGAAAAGAAAAAAAAAAAAAACTCCTTTCACCAACAAATTTCTATGCATGCTTCATTTTTGCCTTTATTATCTTTAGTTCTTTCTGCAGTCTACTTTGCGTGTGTGTCTGCACTTGGTTGTGTGCTCTTTGTGAAACCTTGTCGTCCTGCATGGTTTGCAGAGCTTCAATGAGTTCTTTTGCTTCTGCTGGTTGGAATAACCATGTTTTTGTCTTCTAGCCGATCTGTGTTAGTTTTTTATGGCCCACCGAAATACAGATAGAACTTTTTTTTGGTGGGCATATAATGTTTATTGCAATTGTTCTCCTCTGCAGGTCTGGGATGACTCTTACCATTTGATCCCGTTGTTAAATGCAGGCTAGGAGAATGGACGTTGTTTGGGGAGAAACTGCTGGAGTCGACGGTCAACTATGGTTGTTGGCACCCATTCTATTCATATTACAGGTGATTTAAGCTGTACAAATGCCTGTTTTGGGGACCATGCCCACAAAAGATCATATTAATGTATGCTTTGCCATCCAAGTCATGTTGAATCAAACAAACACTAAAGCGATTTAAATTAAGGTTGTTAAATATTCATTTTTTTTCCTACATAACTTGCCAAAAGTTATGTACATGTATAAATAATTAAATATATATAACAGCTAGGGAAGGAAAGTTTTTGTTACTATCAAACATCATCACATTCCTTGAGCATTTTCTTTCATTACTTGATGAAGTTGAAGTCATATTATCATTCTCTTCAAGTTTGCCATCCAACAATCCTAGTTTTATACATGTAATGCAACTTGCTCTTTCATCACAGCTCTCTCTCTCTGTTTTTTGAACTTCTTTGGCTCACAGTGTGATGATGTCACCATGAGTTATTGATTTTTTTTTTTCTTTTTTCTTTGAAGATATTAGGAAGAGGCACATGCTCACCAAAAAAAGGAAAGTAATTGTAATCATTGGCATTGTATATTATTTGCCAATCCTTCAGTGAAAAATAATGAAACACTACAACAAAAAATATTTGGCGACATTTTTTAGCAACCAAACTGAAATTAGTCGCCAGTTTTATGTAATCGGCGACAATTAATTGTTAAGTCGCCAAAAATTACACTATTTGCGACGAGTTAAGATTTTTAGTGTCGCTAAAAGGTTTGGCGCCAAATTAATTTTTTGGGCGGGAGCGCCAAAATATTTTCGCGACCATATTAACATATAGCGACAAAATTTTGGTCGCCGATTGTAAAGTTTTGGCGACAGAAATGAAATAGTCGCGGAAAAGAATGAACGACGGTACTTATGGCTACCGAAGGAATTTTGTCGCCAATAACTTAGCAACGAACTACGTCGTTTGCATTTTTTCATTTTTTTTTTTTTTTTAAAGACTGGACCGACCCTTTTACTGAAATAAACAAATAAGCTCTAAACTCTCTCTCTCCTTTCACTCTCCACTCTCACTCTTTCTCAATCCACAGCCTCAAGCGGCGCAAAACAGAGGGTATGTCTCCCGCTCCCTCAAACTCTCTCACACGCCTCCTCCTCCTCCTCCTCCCTCCTCCTTTTCGTCTTCGTCTCTCTTCCTCTCGCTCTCTCTCGGCCACCGATTGATTTCCACCGACGCATTCACTTCTCTCTCTCTCTGATAGTTTTGAAGACAGATATATATATATATATGAGTATATGATAAATATATGATAGATTGTTGTCCTAAAGTTTACTATATATATATATATATGAGTATATATGATAGATTGATAGTTTCCTAAATCTGTCTTGAACGATTTATATAGATATATTAAATCTGTTCTTTAAATATTATATTAAAATGTCTTTTAATTTTTCCCCCTTTTATTGGAATATTGTTGCTCTTTTAAATTTTTAACTAAATGCACTTTATCAACAATGAATTTGAAATTGATTGATTTTTCTTCAAGCATGGAGTGATCTTTGAGTGAACCCATTGTATTGTTTGTACCAAAATTATCCTATTTATGTATGCTTGTAATGCATTAACTAGGACTGAGAACCCATTGTATTGTCCATCTCCCTTACAGATGGGCATAGGCCTCTCACTCTACAGATGCTATCTCAATCTGTCATCTCTCCTCTCTCTCTCTCTCTCATGACGATTTCAAGGTCCCGAACCAAAACCCTAAGTTTTCCCCCTTTTTTTCTAGATTGGAACTTGGAAGATCTTCACCATTCTTAGAAAAAGTTAGAAATCTGTTTTTTTTTTTTTTTGTTCTTCTTAGCAGATCGTTACTTCTCTCACCATTCTTGGGATTTTGGTGAATGGTTTGGTTATTTCACCTATGTATCTAGCTATTGTCTATACTTCATTTTTTTCTTATGTTAGTTTGAAGGGCATCTCCCGCCCTAGTTTGGTTTCAGTGAGTAATGTGAAGCGTTACACTTGAGAACTAATATTATAAGACTCTATACTAATATGCACTTTTACAACTTGATATTAATAAGAATTATTTATGATGACATTGACTCAAAATTTTCATTATATCTATATGTGTCCCATGTGGTATGGTTTCTATAGGACAAAATGATATGTTTATAGATGTAATTATGCATTAGCTTCTGGATATTATGCCTTACTTCACTGTTTTATGGGTTATTAAGTGCCATTGTTTGTATTTATTTTTGTTTCACATGCTTTAATACATTATTTTGTGTTTGAAGAATATAAAGTCTCTATTTATTGTGTACAGAGCATGGTTAGTGATTTGTATATATTGCCAGCTAAATCAGTCATTCCTTCAGAGAATGAGTGGTTCTTCTTTTTCTTCTCGTGGAAGGAAGTACCCAAATGGCTCACAAAGTAAGAGAGCAACTGAATCTGGCTATTGGAAGCCACTGGGAAAGAAACAAATGTGAAGTTAGGAATACTAAAATTTGATTGGCACAAAAAGGACACTGGTGTTCCACACCGTCGTGCACCAAAAGGGGAGTGGACAAAATAGATAATGCATGAGTATTGTATGAATGGAAATCCTCAGGTGGTGGTGTTAATACTTTTTGACAATATTTTATATTTCTCATAGATGGTTTGGTTATTTCACCTATGTAGTGTATCTTAGGCATTAATTAGTTTTTTACTTAATTAGTACATGGGCAAAATTATATTCTATTAGATTGAGTAAACAACACTAGTCATATCATTTTATTATTATTATTATTATTATTATTATTATTATTATTATTTATTTATTTGAATTACTAAACTATTTTCAGCAGCAAAGAGTAGACACAAATATTGCAGATGGCTGTGATGCTCTGAATCTGGGTGTGGCTGCTGATAGCCTTTGGTTGTTTTTATTTGTGGTGTTTGGCTTGGGGTTTGATCTTGTAGTTGAAGGTTGGTAATGGTGAAGATTGCATACCTCGTAATGGACGATGGAATTTTAACAAGGTATTCCCTTGGTTTCGTTATAATAATGGAAGAGAAGTGTTCCAACTTTAGGTGGAGGGTTGCAGAAATTGATAATTCTTTTACATTCCCTATTTTGCTTAAATTCAGCAACTTTGTGAACTAATTTGGCAGTTACTTGTTCTTGTTTTATTCTTTTAAAGCAACTCTTCACCCCCATCCGAATAGAACGGTGGGAAGTTGTCAACTTCTCTGCTCATTGTGATACAAGTCATCTTTCCCGAGAACTTATTAACTGTGGAAGGAACAAGGGCCTTGTAAGTACCCTGTATTTGTTTCTATGATGGGTATTATTGTTTCAAACAAGCTTTGCTTGATATAATTAATTGTTTTCTTTACATTCAGAATATTCCTTTTTGTCTTGAAGGAAGAAAACTAGAATCCTTGATTTAATTTTTTTCCTAAAAAAAAAAAATTTACTATAATGCAATGTTGGTTGTAGGCATCAGGCTCAGGATAAGCGGGTTTGTGTTTGCTTCATGATCCAAGCATCATAGCTTTTGTGTTGTTGCGGCTTTGACAAGTTTCTGGTTATGCACTGGACTTGTTTGTGGCAAGGTCTCAAAGAGGGATTTTGGGATTTTGGACTTGTTTTGTTTGTACTTAGCTCTTGTAAGTGTTGAATAGATCTGGGTCATCCATTTTTGTGGGGCCCAAAAATGGGTTACCCAGATCTGTTTGTGACATGGTCTCTTCAGATTTTTGATCTTTGGATCTGTTGTCTTTTAAAATGAGGCCTTTGGCTGTCCTGTTTGTGTTTCTTCCTCTGTTTGGTTGATTGATTGATTAAATCTGTGTCAACAATCTTGAGATATAAATGTTAGTTTAATGTGTGCAGGAGGTAAATAAGATGTGGGCAGGTTTTAGGTTATTACAGACGGGCATGATATCTACTAGAGATGAGCTCTTTTTTTGACTCTTGTGCATCTAGATATTTGTAACACTATTTGATATGAATCTATTTCTTGTTGGATTTCATTTGGTATTTAAAAATGGCATTCTTAATGGATAGGATGTGCTCTTTCAAATTCATTGGTTGACAGCGATGCTAACCAATTTCTTATTCTCTATGGCCCGAGACTCCATGTGAGCTACTAAGGTATTTGGTCTCATGTCTTGCATTTTATGAAACATCCATGTTGGCGTGTCACATGTTGTATCCTGTCTTTGTTTGTGCTTGTGTCCTTGCTTCTTAGCTCTACTGTTAATCATTTTTTTACTAGTTTCAGTTTCATCAATGCAGCAGATTCTAACACTGTATCTACGGAATGGGAAGTTGAGAGTGATGATGAAACTGAGGAAGAATCTGAATGGAAGTTTCTTAAAACCAGAATGTGGCAGATCCTGTGCACTTTCTTATTGGCTATTCCCCCTTTGTAGTATTATTTATTTGAATATTAGATATACTTTCCTTTCATTCAGCTCCACTTCTATCTTCATTACCTTCTTCCAGGTCTTATTTAACATTTATCCTGTTGACTTGTAATTTTTCTTTTGAATTCCACTGCATGTTGTATGTTTTCCAAATTATTTTGAAGCCTTCTTTGGGTGCATTAGTATTTGGCATTAGCACAAATGTACCTGAAGCTTCATTTGTTGTTTTCTCTCGCATCTTTGTGTTAGTAAAACAAATATAACTATAAAGATGTGATGCCTGGGTTGCAAATTGTTCTTTTTCTTACTGGTTTTTTGTTTTATCAGTTTAGCTGACTTGTGACTTTTTGCATATTATTGTCCTTATGGTTTTGGTTCCACTTCCTGATATAATTTATGGTATTTGATGTGTGGTGTCTTGGTTTCTTTTGTGAAGATACTCTAATTTTACTTGATTTTGCTTTAATGTCAAGGTTAAGAAATGCTTCTTTGAAGTTATAATTAATCGTAAAAATAAAAATAAAATTCAGTTTATTATTTATGTTTTGTTGTAATAGTTCATAAAAGCTCTGCAAGAGGATCCGTCAGCGTAAAAAATACTCTCGCAAAGTTGAACTTTACTCATTTCCTCACTTGCAGAATTTTCTTCTTCAAGCTATTTCTCTTAACTGCTGTCTTCATTTTTTTGTTTGCCCTAGGTGGGTTAACAACTTTGGTTGACATGCCTCTTAACAGTTTTCCATCTACAGTTTCTATAGAAACTTTTGAGCTCAAGGTATGGATGGTTGAACTCAACTTTGGTTGACATGCCTCTTAGCTTCACTTTTTAATTAGGTAGTTTGAAACTTAGCTTCACTTTCATATTCTTATTGTACAAAAACTTGACCAACTATTTCCTTTTCTTGTTATCTTTTTTCCATCTACATAACGGATCAAGGCTGCAGCAAAGAGGATCTATGTTGATGTTGGTATGCTCTTAGAACTATATATGAGAAATCTCATATTTTAATCACTTGTTTTAATCATAGCAAGGTTGTGCTGCAATGTTAGTAAATAGACTTGTAGTAACAAACAGGACCCCTATTGGATCTCCGATTAGAAAATTAGAAGGAAAATTGTAAAACACAAGACTTAAAATGCCTGTTCAGGGGCCAAAATTTTGAAATGACCACCGAAACCACCGAAACTTGGCACGGACAGCCTTTTGAAGCCTAAATAGACTTGTAGGAAATAATAGGATATGTATTGGATCTCCGGTGAGAAAATTAGAAGGAAAGTTGTAAAATACAAGACTAAAAAGGCCCGTTCGGGGGCCGAAATTGCGAAATGACCACTGAAACCACCGAAACTTGGCACGGACAGCTTTTTCAAGCCTAAACAGACTTGTAGGAACAAACTGGGACCTCGATTGCATTTCCGATTAAAAATTAGAAGGAAAAATGTAAAACATAAGGCTAAAAAGGCCCGTTTGGGGGCCGAAATTTCGAAGTGACCACCGAAACCATCGAAACTTGGCACGGACAACCTTTTGAAGCCTAAATAGACTTGTAGGAAATAATAGGAAGGCTCGTTCGGGGGTCGAAATTTTGAAATGACCACCGAAACCACCGAAACTTGGCACGGACAACCTTTTGAAGCCGAAAATAGACTTGTAGGAACAAACGGACCTCTATTGGATCTCCGGTTAGAAAATTAGAAGGAAAGCTGTAAAACATGAGACTAAAAAGGCCCGTTCAGGGGCCGAAATTGCAAAATGACCACCGAAACTTGGCACGGACAGTTTTTTCAAGCCTAAATAGACTTGTAGGAACAAACGGGACCTTGATTGCATTTCCGGTTAAAAAATTATAAGAAAAAATGTAAAACACAAGGCTTAAAAGGCCTGTTCAGGGGCTGAAATTTCGAAATGATCACTGAAACCACCGAAACTTGGCACGGATAGCCTTTTAAAGCCTAAATAGACTTGTAGGAACAAACGGGACCTCTATTGGATCTCCGGTTAGAAAATTAGAAGGAAAATTGTAAAACACAAGACTTAAAATGCCCATTCGGGGGCCGAAATTGCGAAATGACCACCGAAACCACTGACCACCGAAACCATCGAAACTTGGCACAGACAGCTTGTTCAAGCCTAAATAGACTTGTAGGAACAAACGGGACCTCGATTGGATCCCCGGTGAGAAAATTAGAAGGAAAATTGCAAAACACAAGACTTAAAATGCACATTCGGGAGCCGAAATTGCGAAATGACCACCGAAACTAGACACGGACAGCTTGTTCAAGCCTAAATAGACTTGTAGGAACAAACGGGACCTCGATTGGATCTCCGGTTAGAAAATTAGAAGGAAAATTGTAAAACACAAGACTAAAAAGGCCCGTTCGGGGGCCGAAATTGCGAAATGACCACCGAAACTTGGCACAGACAGCTTGTTCAAGCTTAAATAGACTTGTAGGAACAAATGGGGCCTCAATTGAATCCCCAGTGAGAAAATTAGAAGGAAAATTGTAAAACACAAGACTTAAAATGCCCATTCGGGGGCCGAAATTGCGAAATGACCACCGAAACTAGGCACGGACAGCTTGTTCAAGCCTAAATAGACTTGTAGGAACAAATGAGACCTCGATTGGATCTCCGGTTAGAAAATTAGAAGGAAAATTGTAAAACACAAGACTTAAAATGCCCGTTCGGGGGCCGAAATTGCGGAATGACCACTGAAACCACCGAAACTTGGCACGGACAGCTTGTTCAAGCCTAAATAGACTTGTAGGAACAAACGGGGCCTCGATTGGATCCCCGGTTAGAAAATTAGAAGGAAAAAATTATAAAACACAAGACTTAAAATGCCCGTTCGGAGGCCGAAATTGCGAAATGACCACCGAAACCACCGAAACTTGGCACGGACAGCTTGTTCAAACCTAAATAGACTTGTAGGAACAAAGGGGACCTCGATTGGATTTCTGGTTAGAAAATTACAAGAAAAAATGTAAAACACAAGACTTAAAATGGCCGTTCGGGGGCCGAAATTTCGAAATGACCACCGAAACTTGGCACGGACAGCCTTTTGAAGCCTAAATAGACTTGTAGGAACAAACGGGACCTGTATTGGATCTCCGTTTAGAAAATTAGAAGGAAAATTGTAAAACACAAGACTTAAAAGGCGTGTTCGAGGGTTGAAATTGCAAAATGACCACCGAAACCATCAAAACTTGGCACGGACAGCTTGTTCAAACTTAAATAGACTTGTAGAAAAAAACGGGACCTTGATTGGATTTCCAGTTAGAAAATTACAAGGAAAAATGTAAAACACAAGACTTAAAAGGCCCGTTCGGGGGCCGAAATTTCAAAATGACCACCGAAACTTGGCACGGACAACCTTTTGAAGCCTAAATAGACTTGTAGGAACAAACAGACTTCTACTGGATCTCCGGTTAGAAAATGAGAAGGAAAGTTGTAAAACACAAGACTGAAAAGGCCCACTCGGGGGCCGAAATTGCGAAACGACCACCGAAACCACCGAAACTTGGCACGGACAACTTTTTCAATCTAAAACAGACTTGTAGGAACAAACGGGACCTTGATTGCATTTCTGGTTAAAAAGTTATAAGGAAAAATGTAAAACACAAGGCTTAAAAGGCCCGTTAAGGGGGTCGAAATTTTGAAATGATCACTGAAACCACCGAAACTCGGCACGGATAGCCTTTTGAAGCCTAAATAGACTTGTAGGAACAAACGGGACCTCTATTGGATCTCCGGTTAGAAAATTAGAAGGAAAATTGTAAAACACGACTAAAAAGGCCCGTTCGGTGGCCAAAATTGCGAAATGACCACCGAAACTTGGCACGGACAGCTTTTTCAAGCCTAAATAGACTTGTAGGAACAAATGGGACCTCGATTGGATCCCCGGTTAGAAAATTTGAAGGAAAATTGTAAAACACAAGACTTAAAATGCCCGTTTGGGAGCCGAAATGGCGAAATGACCACCGAAACTTGGCACGGACAGCTTGTTCAAGCCTAAATAGACTTGTAGGAACAAACGGGACCTCGATTGGATCTTCGGTTCGAAAATTAGAAGGAAAATTGTAAAATACAAGACTTAAAATGCCCGTTCGGGGGCCAAAAATGCGAAATGACCACTGAAACCACCGAAACTTGGCACGGACAGCTTGTTCAAGCCTAAATAGACTTGTAGGAACAAACGGGACCTTGATTGGATCCCCGGTTTGAAAATTAGAAGGAAAATTGTAAAATACAAGACTTAGAAGTCTCGTTCGGGGGCCGAAATTTCGAAATGACCACCGAAACTTGGCACGGACAGCCTTTTGAAGCCTAAATAGACTTGTAGGAACAAACGGGACCTCGATTGAATCTCTTGTTAGAAAATTAGAAGGAAAATTGTAAAACAAACTTAAAAGGCATGTTCAAGGGCTGTAGTGCGAAATGACCACTGAAACCACCAAAACTTGGCATGGACAGCTTGTTTAAACTTAAATAGACTTGTAGGAACAAACGGGACCTCGATTGGATTTCCAGTTAGAAAATTACAAGAAAAAATGTAAAACATAAGACTTAAAAGGCCCGTTCGGGGGCCGAAATTGCAAA